GGCAGAGGCAGGTGGATCATCTGAGGTTGGGAGTTTGAGACAAGCCTGGCCAACATGGTAAAACCCTGTCTCTACTAAAAATACAAAAATTAGTCAGGCGTGGTGGCATGCACCTGTAATCCCAGCTACTTGGGAGGCTGAGGCAGGAGAACTACTTGAACTGGGAGGCAGAGGTTGCAGTGAGTCGACACTGCACCATTGCACACCGGCCTGGGCAACAGGATGAGACCCTGTCTCCGAAAAAAAAAAAAAAACAAAAAAGGTTGGAGTTGAAGTCACATTCTGTGGCCTGCCATGATTGGATGTTCCTAATACCTGTATTAAGCAAAGGTAGGGAGGGGTTTCATACCTGGGACTTGCAAGGGTCAGGGTGCAAAAGAAGCCTGATCCTGAGCCAGCTCTTACCACTGGTGCGATGAGCTTGCATCTCCGGAGGATGTGGCAGGAGAATGTCAGCACGATGGCTATGGAGGACATGAAGGGAGCCAGGGCAGTTTCCGCTTTGGACAAATACAGCTTTTTCCAGTAATTTTTCTTTCCCTTCTTTTTATATCTGCAAAATAGAAAACAGTCCAAGGTGGTCTCCTTTTGCCTGTCAAATGCTAGCATTATGAAATGTATTAGCACTACCCTGTCCTCTTTCAAATGACTGCTCATGAGTCCTGTTGTGAAGTTTAAATGAGAGGAACCAGAGAGCCCTGGGCACAAACCCAGCAGGTACTTGGAGCTCGGTACCTGTCAGCTACTGTAACCGGATGGTGTCCAACGCCCCTTCCAGTCCTGACACTCTGTGTCAGGAGTCATAAACTTAGATGCCTACAGGGTCCAGGCAAGTACCATCAACGACAGGAATGGGGCCAGAGGGAAGGAAAGACCAGAGCAGGGCTCTGGAGTGCAGTAGAATGGAGAGGAGAATCAAAGGGGCAGCCCCTTCTCAGGGCAGGGGAGGCTGGCACTACCATGAAATACATCAGGCACCTCTCATCGGAGCCTGCTCCCCACCAATTGCAAGCACGGAAACAAAGGAAAATCTTGAGTTCCTTCAAGGGAAATTCCCGGCACCCAGCTAACCCTGAGAAGTAAATGAGCAACTTGATAAGCAAGAAGGTAATAGCCTGAAACAACAGCCAAGTTAGAGTCAAAAGCATGTTTGGTTCCCTTATAGAAACTAAAGATTATGTCTTAACATATGTCCCTGAGTTGTATTTCAGAAACCCGGACCCCCAGCCAATGTATCTGCTGGCACACAGACCTCAGACAAGGGGGAGCTGAGGACAGAGCTCTCACTGCCGTTTTGGTTCTAAATTTTTTCCTGAGGAACCTGAACGAGATCACGCCCACAGGCTGGATCCAATGCTCTTTTCTGCTAGCTCCAAATCTTTAGACAAAATGTCCCTTCCTTAACCAGGTGCAAATCAGAAAATCTTTAAATCTACCCATGATTTATAGGCTGCCTGCTTCAAGATATCCCACCCTTTTACACCAAACCAACGTATAACTTCCACATATTGAGTTACACTTTTGCCTCTAACTTTGCTTTTCTGAAATGTAGCCCTGCCTTTAAAAACTCTTGCTTGCAAGCCACTGGGGAGGCCAGGTCTTAAGCATGAGCTGCCTGATTTTCCTTGCTTGGTACGCGGCAAATAATGCCCTCCTTTCTCCTGCGACAAACCTCTGTGGATATTTGGCCTTACTGTGCCAGATGAGCAGACCCCAGTTTGGTCCAGTAACAACCAGACCATCAGCTATTTCAAAGTCTAAGGTCCAGAGTTTTATTTATGTATTTATTTTTGAGACAGGGTATTGCTTCATCCCCCAGGCCAGAGTGCAATGACATAATGTAGCTCACTGCAGTCTTGAACTCCAGGCTCAAACAATCCTCCCACCTCAGCATCCTAAGTACCTAAGACCACAGGGACACACCACCACACCCAGATAATTTTTTAAAAATGTTTTGCAGAGGTGGGCTCTCCCTATGTTACCCAGGCTGGCCTTGAATATTTGCATTCAAGCAATCCTCCCATGAGGTCCATATTTTTGTGAGACATCTCCCTAATTTTAATATTGGGAACTAATTGAAGTAACATTTTTAAAAACTGTAGGGGAGAAACAAAACACATATGCTGGCCTGAAGGCATCTGCCTGGAGTCCCAAGAATAGCCACAAAAACTCAAGAGCATTCTCCCTTTCCTAAGTCCAGAATATGCCCACCTCTCTGCAATGTTCACAAATTACATTCAAGCCTCCTTCACGTGCTGTTTCTTGTCCTCAACCCCAATTCCAGCCTCCTCTGTAAAAGCCCTTTCACATCTGCACAGGATAGCCATAGATGTTTTAATGGAGTGGTCACTAAATGCCAGGTGCTCTGCTCAACACTTCACACGCGCTTTCTCATTAGATCGTCCTCGCCACTGTGATGAGAGAGGCTGTTACTTTATGCCTTCTTGACAGGAGAGCAAACTGTCTTGCAGGTTTAGTAGCTTGCCTTTTCAGTGATCGGGACAGAACTGGAGCCCACTTCTCCTGGGATCCAAGCTCTGTTACCCAGGTGCCCTTCCCTTCCCCAAAAGAACATCCAGCACTCCCTTGTCCCTAAGAGCACCCTCTTATCTCCACCTCCAGGCCTCTGCTCCTCCCTGAGGGGGTTTTCCCCAGTTCTCTGTGCATCCCGATCTTTCCTGTCCCTTTGGCCTACCTGAAAACCACCTCTGCCAGGAAGCTTTTCCCAATCTCCCCCAACCTAGTGTGCTCCCCTGCGGAGCATCTCTGTTTCTCTTGTGGCACTTTCTCCACCTTCCCCCACAGAATAACATGAATTCATGTGTTCACTCACTCAAGATATTTGAACCTGATGTCTACTATACGCCAGGCGCTGCGCCTGTGGCTGGAGAATAGAGGAGTGAAAAGGGTCTGGCCCTCTTCCAGTGGGGGAGACAGACAATAAAGAAATAAACAATTAAATAACTGCAAATTGTGTTGGATGATCTGAAAGACATGAGCAGGGTGAAGTGATTGAGAGGTAGGGCATGGATCTGCTTGGCACTGCAGTCCAGAAGTCCTCTCTGGATGTTGAGAAGAGACCCGAAGTCGAGACAAAGCCACCGTAAACATCCAGCAGAGTGCACTCCAGGCAAAGGGAACAGCAAGTGCAAGCATCCCAAGGCCTGAAGGAGCCTGGTGTGTGGCTCTAGAAACAGACCAAAGCAGACACCGCTAGAGCTGAGTTACTGAAGCTTAGGGTAAATGTGATGATGTCAGAGAGGGCACTGGGGGCCAGATCGTATTGGACCTAATAGGTCATATGCACGAATTTGGATCCCTTCCAAAGACCTACCTTTGAATAATCTAAGTGTGATAAGAAGCCACTATTTTCAGCAGAGGAGGAAGAGGATCTGATTGACATTTTTTAAAGGTCACTCTGACTGCTGAGTGCATAGTGGATCTCAGGAGAGAGGGGGAAGGCAGGAGGAGTGCCTAGAGGCTTTGCCATAGTCCAGGAGGGAGAGGATATTGGCTTGGACTTGGTGGGAGTGGAATGGAGAGAAGCAGATGGCTTCCGGATATGCTCTGAAGGTAGAGCCAACAAACTCGTGGCTATTTTAGAGCTAAGTTATCTCATCCTCCCTTATTCGTAAAAGCAGAAACCCTTTTCCATTTCATCTGTGTAGCTCCCATGGCCTTGCACACAGTAGGAACTTGATATATAGTTATTGAACTAAATTGACGAATTAAATTAAGTTGAATTAAATCAAATGGAATCAACTTTAATTAAATCAAATTAAATTGCACTGAGGTAAACTTAGGAGTGTGAGGATGTGATTCTGGGTCTTCTAGTGCTGCTAGGGTCCTAACCTGGGGCATTTCCCTGGGCTAGCTCAGAAGCAGGTTCTCTACAGCCCCTCCCTAGAGTACAGATACACAGCTTTGGCCCAATTCCATGCTGGTGCAAAAGTGTAATTGTACATCCAGACAGTCAATTGTGACAGTGGTTCAGATCATTAACTGGTGAACCACCTGAGTCTATGTCAGCAATTATGTTAATGTCCCTGCAATTAAATTTGCATTTATATTTGATCAAAATAGATTCGATATCAGTTTTAAAAAACAAAACTACATATACATCTTCTCGTATCTGCCTAAGGAATGTTGAGTCAGTGGACCATTCAAACACAAGGACGTTGCTGCAGGTAAAGAGGTCTGTGTAACCCTGGGTGTGTGAGAGCATGTGTGTATACAAGTCTTCTAAGTCAAGGAAATGGCTGGAGACAGCTTTTTACCTGCTCACTGGTTTAGTGGATTATTTTTATTAAAGGTAACTCGCCAGGACCAGGATCCACATGTCCCAGCAAGGAGAAACCATATGTCACTCACCCTTGGGTTCATCAGAACAGATGCCTGGCTCTATTATTAAATCTCCATAATCCTTCGAAAAATCCTTTGGCCTGCAGAGCAGCTCAGAGGGTCTCCTCAGCCTCCTTCTGGAACACCCGGCCCTGGGAAACTTAGAAGAGCATATTCTACAAGATAAGTGGTTTTTTAAGCAGCTACTCCTGTCCTACCTTGGATAGTGCTGGTAAAAGATTTCTCCCAGGCATACATTTTGATGAGCTTGATGCTGGTCAGAAACTCATTCATTGTCTGAACTCACTTGTCTGTCACCAAAATTGCTGAACTTCGGAAAGCTGAATTGAGCTTGGCCATAAACATCTGTAATCAAGGTACAAACACTGTTTTCAGAGAGAACTGCTGAGTTGCAGCTGGCCTAAAAATCCAGAGATGGGAGTATAAGTGCCAGGAAAAGTTCTAAAGGAAGTTGGCTTGAGATACTCAGCCAAATCTTTCCCTCCCTTGAGTTGTGGCTGCTGACGCTGTCTGAGGGGGGTCAGGCGGGTGATATAAAGGCTTGAATTGCCAGAACTCAAGGGGAGTGCTGCGGACTTTGACAAATTGAAGAAGCATTCCCCTTCCCGGAGCATTCAAATTCAAGTTTTTTAAAAAACTTCACTGTGGCCAGGTGCAGTGTTTTGTACCTGTAATCCCAGCTACTCAGGAGGCTGAGGCAGGAGAATGGGTTGAGCCCAGGAGTTCAAGACCAGCCTGGGCAACATAGTGAGACACCATCTATACAATATTTCTTTTTTAATTAGCCAGGTACAGTGACATGCATCCATAGTCCCAGCTAGTTGGGAGGACTGAGGCAGGAAGATTGCTTGAGCCCAGGACATTGAGGTTGCAGTGAGCCATGATTGCACTACTGCACTCCAGCCTGGGTGACAGAGCAAGTCTCTGTCACTAAACAAAAACAAAAACAAAACTACTCTGTGCCAAAGGAAGTAAATCTGTGACTACAAAATGGGGTACAAGCTCCAGGTCCTTGCGCCAGAAACGCAGCCTTCTACCCAATTCAGTGAAAGTGTTTGAAATGCAAATATAAAGCAGTTAGAAGCACAAAAGCCTATCATTACCTGAATAACTATGCACAGGACATACATGGATATTGCGGTGAGAGCCGTGGGCCCCGGAATGAAAAAGGCATACTGCACAAAAGGCCATTAGCATCAGGATGGCTGCTGACAAGAGGCAAAACAAGGCAGCTTCAAATGAGGAATAGCTATTGCTTGACAGTATATTGAGCACCTGGAAAGAAAAGTACATGGGTTCAGGTTTGGAAGAGTCAGTCAAACATTTCTTCAACTGAAGACTTTCAGACTGTCCGAGTGGTTCTAGGCCCTACGGCAGGAAGGGGTCACCGGGGACCAATATGATGAGTTTTATGGGTTCTGGTACGATTTTGGAGAGGCCGGTCTTTTAAGGCTGAGAATCTCAATGCAGAAAGACTTAAAGCATAATGTTACCATCTAGTAGCATAATGGAGTTTCACCCCTGCTCCCGCTTTAGAGTTGTCAGCCCCTAAGAAAGGAGAGAAGCTGCTTCTCCGGGAGCTCAGTGGTCAAGGCATTAGCCTCCAGCAGCTTCCGGTCAAATAAAAAGCCACTTCCTTTCTCAGTTCGGTGTTTGAGAGGATTGTCCCCTGCCAATCCTGCTACAGTGATGAATTCTTAAAGGCAGCCAACTCCACCTGAAAGGTACCCCTTCTTCTGATCTTCCTCCTACCACCTGTCTGAAGCGTGGCTGGGATGGCTGGGTCTTTAGCATGTCCTTTTGAACCATTATGAGAGCCATGTACAAAGATAGTGATGAAGAAATGCAGAAAGGTCTGGAATCTCCTGTGCCAACCCTGCATTGTTCCCTTCTAGATTCCTTTTACATAAAGCGAAATTAATTCCTTTTGTTTAATCCACTTTATTTTGGGTTTGCTATATGCAACTGAATCTAATCATAATTAAATGCTTTGAGCTTGCTGAAAGAACAGCTGTAAGAAAGAAGCAAGTCTTTTATCTTACCCCACACCACCTGGGGTTCCCTTGATTAGGGAGGGTGTGTGTGTGTGTGTGTTTGATAAGTGGTAAGAATTTTATTGCCAGGGATTAAGAGCTCAAGAAAACATCAACTCTGAAGTCCAACAGGCACGGTCTTCATTGTGGCTTTGGCATCCTCTATGCTAACGGTTGGGATTATTGGAGCCATCAGTCCATCCATTTTATTAAACGCCTATAGTGTGCTCAGTACTGCTCCACTGTTCCCATTCACCATCGAAGCAATTGGATGAAGTCCCCCTGAGCCCTGTTCCAGCTGGAACTAGGAAGCCTCTCCAAATTCTCCAGCCTGAACGGAGCCCTCCTCTCTCTGAACTCCTCTGGTGTTCTGTGTCTCCAACACCTCACTTAGCCAGGAGATGGGACATGACAGACAGGTCATAGTCAAACAAAGGGAAGGCAGGTGCTCTATCCAGGACCCAGATCTCACATGCGCTCAAACCACTCAGGACTCCTTTTCTAGGCCAGCTTACCTCACCAACAGAGATGGCTGTCAATGTCTTGAGGGACACCAGGTTTTCGAAAACCAGGGTGGAGAGCACCACCTCCAACTGGACGGCTGTGCGGTAGTTGATGGCCTAGGCAAAAGCTGAAAGCAGCCTTTGGTAAACTTGGTGGCCGCAAGGGCTATACACAGGCCACTGACAACCCAGACTTTTCCAGATGTTCTCTCAGTCACCTGGAGGATTTTGTGAATGAAAACTGGCTGTAAAATAGGCGATGGGGAGAGGAGAGGGCCACTGAAGGCTGAGGCTGGCATAGGAGGCCTCAGATCATGGCAGCAAGCTGACTTTAGGAGGCAAACTTTTTAATTAATTTTGGTGGCTGCTGCTGTGCTTGACAAGGATTAGCTTTATGAAAATTCGCCCTCAAGGAGTGCAAAGATAATGACAATGCACTAAACCCACCAGCTCGTAGAGAAAGTAACTAATGACATTCTGTGCCAGGCTGCTGACCTAGCAGGCAAAGCAGAAGAAGGGCCGCCCCTCTCACTCGCCCTGTGGTTTCCATGATGATGCACGTGATGATGGCCATGATGTTCATCAACGAGCGAGTCCTCTGGAATTTCCAGACCATATGGCCCAGAGAGGCCTTCTCAGTACCTATCCTTTCATCCCAAAGGACTCGAAATCTGTGATGAAAAAACAGGAAGCATCAAAGGGATTGGCACCTCCATGTGCTATTTGAAGCTACTCTGTTGGGCATGGTCTCACAAGGGTGCTCAGCACAGCCCTCCTCCCTGGCAGTGGTGCCTTCCAGCACTGGCTCTGCTTTCTGCTTTTCCTGAACAGGTGGGACTTGGGAAGGGCAGAGGGTAATGCCTAGACACTAGCTGGTATGAGTGTGGCATTTGGGTTCTTGCCAGCCCTTCTTTTCCTTTGCCTACCACCCATCTCTGCCGCAGTGTCAGCTCGTACAAGAAGACAGAGGCAACAGAGAGGTCAAGAGAAGAGTCTTCTCAGTACAGAGAGGATATTGCTCATTTCAAAGATCTGGAAGAAGGCCAGAGAGACAGGAGTGTGGTGGGCAAAGGGGAGGGGCTGTCGGGACAGTGGGAAGCAAGGCAGAAACTCTTGGGACCTTGGAGGACTTCACAGGACCTAGGTAAAACCTCAAAGGCCTTCCTTCATTCCAAGGGCAAAGGAAGCCATTACAGATTTTTAAACCAATGTGACAAGATCATTTTGCACATCTAAAAGATCAATTGGCTGCTATGAAAATGATGGATGATGGTGTGAACCGCAGAAGGAGATTATCAGCCTCCAGGTGAGAAGTGGCAGTGGAATTAAAGAAAAGTGGATGGCGAGTGACAACAGGGCTTACTGATGAATGAGACGTGGCAGGAAAGGGAAGGAGCTTCAAGGATGGACCCCAGTTTTCTGGCTTGGCCAACTGTGTGAATAGAGTTTACAGAGAGGGAGATGAGAAAAAGCAGAAGAGGAGAGGAATAGTGTCAGGTTGGGGCCCTGGATCAAGAATAGGGCCAGCTTAAGACAAAAGATGCTCATGAGGCATCCAAGTGCAGTTGTCCCTTCGGATGCTGGGCACGCAGTTTCAGAGTCTGGAAGGGGGGCGTGGCCTGGAGACCGACATGGACATGTTACTGAGGGAGTCAGCGTGTGTTTGGTGTTTAAGCCTCTGAAGTGGAGGGGGTCACCTAGGAGCATAACGAAACACGGGAGAGATAAGGATCTAAGTGGATATTGGGTAGATGGGGAAACATTAGTAACAGATGGAGAATACCGGCCAGAGAAGATGGAGGAGAGCCGGCACGCCGCAGACACTACTCCAGACCCTTTCCCTCAGTGCTCCCTGGCAACTTTCTTCAGGCAGTAGATTTTAGAGTTTACCACTAGCTGAGATTTCTTCGGGGCACAGATGAGGAGAATCACAATTCTAGAAGCAATTAGGAGGCCATGACTAAGGCTCCCAGGACTCTCCATTCTTTCTATTATATAGGTAATCAAAACCACAGAGTTCAATGCAGCTGCTGGAAAAAATGAACTTGATGTCTTTGTCCTAACATGGAAAAGTCTTTATAAACTCTTAACTGAAAAGAGAAAAGCGATCAACAGTTATGTAGTATGCTTCATTTTTGTTTACATTAAAATAAAACATGACCTGTGAGTGAAGAGTAAGAAGAAGTATTGATCTGAAGAAGACGACAGTAGCCCAGAGTGTGTTTAACCAGAGTAGGAAAATTCTGGACAGAGCCACGCTGACATTTTCACAGTGCTGACCTCCAGGGAGTAGAGCAGCAGCATGGGAGAGATACTTCTACAACTTCCGCTGCTTCCACATTTTTATAATGAATATGAATTAGGTTGGACAAATAACATTTACATTTTTACAAGTTAAAATTGTCAAATATTGGCAGTTTCATTAGGATCAACCTAAATATGTTTTGTAATATAAAAGTCTAATAGTGATTTTTTTAAATAAAACAAAACCTGATGCCTAAAGCTGCATGCTGGTCAGGATCCACCTGACCAGCACAGAGCAAAGTGAGATTCCAGCCACCTCTGTCCTGATGCAGTACCCCTCAAACCAGCTGCAGCCCAGCCAGAAGGGTCCTGAGCCTCAGGCCATAGCCCTCCAATGAGTCCCCTCTCCTCACTAATGCCAGCTAATCCCCACCTCCCTATAACCCAAGCCAAGAAGTCCATGCAGTCCAGCCCAAGTCTCAGAGAAGAATCACCAGCACCCATGGGTGTCATCTTCCACATTGGGAAAATTGTAGAGCACACAACTAGGGAGCACACAAAAGAGTTTACAGGATGTTTCCCTAGGGTGGGCTTCTCTCCTTAGGTAACTGATAGGGTTTGGCTGTCTCCCCACCCAAATCTCATCTTGAATTATAGCTCCCGTAATCCCCCCTGTCATGGGAGGGACCCCATGGGAGGTAATTGAATCATGGGGGCAGGTTTTCCTGTGCTGTTCTCCTGGTAGTAAGCCTCATGAGACCTGACGGTTTTATAAAGGGCAGTTCCCCTGCACACACTCTCTTGCCTGCCACCATGTAAGATGTGCCTTTATTCCTCCTATGCCTTCCACCATGATTATGAGGCCTCCTCAGTCACATGGAACTGTGAATCCATTAAACCTCTTTTCCTTTATAAATTTCCCAGTCTCGGGTATTTCTTCATAGCAGTATGAAACTGTACTAACGCAGTGACCCAAGCAAATCCTGGTAATTTTGGACATTGTGGTCAGATGAGTCGTATGTTGACAGTTGGGGCAGGGTGTCCACAATCAGCTTTTGCCAGTAGCTTTTTTTCATCACCAGCATGAACCAGGAAAATGTGGTGAAAGAGAGCAGCCCCGCATTATCTACCGAGTTGGGTGCCAACCTGCAGACAAATTAGACACTCAGTGTTTCCAGCATTGGGGTTGTTGCCCCAACTCTCTCTCTGGCTTGAACTTGTATCTTCAGTAAAAACCACAGCTGCACTCAGAAGCTGTGAATTGTATTCATTATGTTCATTAGCCCTTTGAGCAGTGATGTGCTGGGGCCAGCGGGTAAGAGCCAAAATGTTAAATTTTGGGGAATTTGCTATGTTGCCTAGTAAAATCAGGCGCCTCTGCTCATAGCAGTGACACTGAAGCTACACGGACACTTCTCAAATAAGCAGTGACACTGAAGCTACACGGACACTTCTCAAATAAGCTATTTGCCTCCAAGTTCTTGACTGAGGCCCTGTAAGACATCCCATGTGGAATATCTTACTACTCCCTGGACAAGCTGTTTATTCCTCCTGCTTTTTAGTTTTTATATTCACTGCTGCCACAACCTGGAACCATCTAGTATCCCTTTCTTCGCTTGACCAATTTCTGCTCACACTTCCTTTTCTAGGAAAACTTTGCCACATACTTTTTCATTTCCCCAAACAAACTGCAGGCTTCATACTTGTCTTGTTCACAGCTGTATTTCCAATACCTAGCACAGTCCCTGGTACATAGTAGATGTTTAATACGCATTTGTTGAATGAATGAACAATAATAAGTATGGGAGACATCTAAGATGCAGAAAGTAAAAAATAAGCACATAGTAACACCCAGCAAAATATAATTATTTTCAAATAAAGTATAGGATGATATAAAAATAACAAAGTATAAATTATAGCATTGTGTTAGCCCTAGAAAACTACTTTTTAAAAAGGGTTAAAGCTAAAAAGTCAGTCAAGGAAATAAAATAAAAAAGATAGGCAAAAAGGAACTGAAGAATAAAAAACAAAAGGAATAGATAGAAGACAAATATTAATAGCAAGTCAATAGATTTAAACCCGCCATATCAATAATTACATTAAATATAAATGAACTAAAGATTTCAATTAAAAAACAAAAAATGTCAGACTGAATATAAAAACAAGATCCAATGATATGCTGGGTACCAGATGTGTATTTCAAATATAAAGACACAAATAAGCTGAAAGTAACAGGGTGAAAAAGGAATACCATGTTACCAGTACAAAGTACATACAGAGATATATATTTATGATCTCAGGATAGGGAAGAATTTCTTAAAGAAATTTTTTTTAAGTCTTAAACCAAAATCTTGATAAATTCTAGTACACTGAAATTGTAGATGTCCATTCATCAGAAGACATAATTTGTAAGAGAAACAACACACTGGTACAGATGTGACCCACTTAACTGTAAAGAACTCGTATGCAGAATTTATTAAGAATTCTCAATATATTAATAAGAGAAAAACAAACAATTAGAGAAACCAGCAAAAGACAATTGAGAAATGATCCAAATAAACACCAAAATACACCAAATCTCTGAGCATCAGAAAAATATGAATGAAAACTACAATCACAGTAATAGCTATTCCTCATTCTTCAAATAGGCATTAATTCAAAGTCTAAAAATGGCAAGTCTTGGCATATGTATGGAGCACTGCAGCTCTTAAGCCCTCCTGGTGGGAATATGAATTGTATAACTAATTTGTAAAGCAATTTGGCATTATCTGGTCAAGTTGAAGACTGTCTTACTAACATAGGCAGCAATTATCCTTCTTAATTATATATAAGCCCTGGAGAAATCCTGCCTGTTCAAGCAGTCAGATACAGAGTGGCCACTAACTTTGCAGGCTGTCTTCCATTCTCCTCCAAATTTCCCCCTGCCTCTGCTAGCCTCTCTCCTCTCATACTGGTGTCAACACTGAAGTTCAATCGAGGAAAACACAAGGCAACAATCCACAGAGGACAGAATCTCATACAAAATTTCGTGGCCCTTTTTAAGGAATATTTACAGTGGCTGTTTACAATATCTTAAACATCCATGAATAGGCAAATGGATGAATAAACTGTATGAGTATGGCATATTACTATTTAATAGTCAAAATGAATAAACTAAGTCTACATATCAAACTATGTGTATCTCTCATATGGTAAACTGACAGCAGGAAAAAACTGCAGAAAAATACATACACTCTGAGACCATTTGTGTAAAGTTCCCAAACTTACAAAATATACATTATACAATTCATGTACTTGTAATATATAATAATATATTTTATTTACTAATGACTGTATTTGTAGTAAAATTTCATTTCTCCAAGTACTTGAAATTCCTTCTATTAGAGAATCATATTAGAACCAAGATCTGGGCATTAGGTAAATTCTGTTATTGGGGTGTTGTTGCTTATAGGCCCTCTCAGCTGACAAAGCAAGGAAATACATGCATGCATATTAACTAGTGCATAAACACGTATCTATAAATAGTCTGTATGTAACCATCTGTATCTATTTTAAGCTAACAGTGAGTTCATGCTGGCTCTCCAACTTGAATCCATTACCATAATTATCATAATTCCAGCCTCTTCCCCTTACTTATCTGTAAGCTTCAATTCTAAAAGTGAGAAGCCTGGCTCTCACCATCTACCATGTGTTTACATAACTGTTCAATTAAGTGTACATGTATAGCAGTATCAGAATTGTCAACCCAGAGCCCTGTGAGAAACAACTTAATCAACTAGAATAAGATGCTTCCAAGAGTACAGTACCATATGGAAAAGGAAAAAGAAACAGCAACTTTAGAGTAGAGAAGCCTGGCACACATCGCCTCAGCCAGGTAATCAAGGTCAACACCAGCAGTGATAAGTCCTGTTGATAACGTGTACCCTTCATAGGATGTGACAAGAAGGGCACTTTACCGCTGAGATCCTCCTCCCCACACCCCATAACCCTGGTCTAATCATGAGAAAAACATCAGATGAATCCCACTTGAGGGACAGTCTCCAAAAAACTGGCCGATATTCCTCAAAACTGTCAAGGTCATCAAAGACTAGGAGAGCCTGAGACAGTGACACAGCCAAGAGGTGCCTAACGAGACCTGACAGCTACCTGTGAAGGAGCATCTGGGATGAGATTCTGGAACAGAAAAAGGATGTTAGATAAAAATGAAGGAAATCTAATAAAGCATATATATTAGTTAACAATGTATCAATATTGTGCATTAATTATAACACATATACCATACTAACATGAGATGTTAACAGCAAGTGTAGCTGGATGTGGGGTACTGGAGAACTCTGTACTATCTTTGCAATTTTTTTGTAAATGGAAATCATCCTTTAAAAATAAAGTTTATTTTTACAAAATGAATGGGAGCACTCTACACCAAATTCAAGATGATGGTTACCTCTAGGGGTGGGAAAACAAGCTCTAGAAGTTACTCAGGGATATTCCCACGTTGCTGTAAGACCTGGTCATAATTTTAAGAATCTAAAGCCTGAAAATAGGCTCTCTGTGCTCAGTGTCACTGAGTAACGCAGGCCCGTGCTACAGAAGTTCTGAGAGGGTAGATGTCAGTATGGTCTTGGAGGAGGAAGGGGTAGGGAGGACTTTTGGGGGAGGGGAGACTAGAAGGGTTTCAGAAAAAGCCCAAAGAGAGATTTTTGGCTGAGCCTGGCTTTGTGTGTGGTGCCTGCAGAGTGATGCTCTATGCACCAGTCTTAGGTAAGAGTCGAGACAAAACTGGGCATGACTGTGAAGGGCTTCAGATTAAAACTTTCCTGGATCCTTTTCCACAAGACTTCCGTCAGTTTGTTTACCAAAAAGCCCTTCAGAGTTTTCTCTACCCTCTCCACTCAGAAAAGCCCCCTGCTGGCTTCTCTGCATTTGCTTCAGGCGACAGAAGGAGGCTGTCCACTGCAGAGATGCTGGGGCTGAGAAGTTTAAAAATTGGCCTCTCATTCTTGCTTGGGTCCTTGGCTCCCTGCGTGAACACAACCCAGCACCGGTCTGGATTGGATGCAGGAAGAGAAGCAGAGAAGCCTGGACCCGAGCATAGCCTTTGGGCATGGTCGTCATACCGCATGTCCATTCATTCTGCAACTGCTGGGCACAGCGGACAGTCAAGGTGCAGTCCCTGATCAGAATCCAAGATACGGCAAACCAGCCTCTCACAGAGAGTTTCCTTCTGGCCCTCCAGATCGTGCCTCAACTCTCTTTGGTGACAGACCCCAGTCACTTCTCAAGACGGCTGGCATGCAGTATCCCTGCAGGAAATGCACACCCTGCATCTAGTCTTGAGAAAATACCAGACCAACCCAAAGGAGCTTTCTACAGAACAATTGGCCTGTGCTCTTCAAAAACAACAAAAGCGCAAAAGACAGAAAGGTGAGAAAACATCCCAGATTAAAGGACACAGAAGAAACGTGACAGCTAGAAGCAACGCACAAGCCTGGACTGGATGCTGGACCGGAAGAAAATAAATTTGCTGTAAAGAACATTATTGGCCCAAGTCAAAGGTCAAACCGTGCACTTGACCTTTCAAGTTGCCGGCCTGACCCTCTTCCAAGCGTACTTTACTTTCTTTCATTCCTGCTCTAAAACTTTTTGATAAATTTTCACTTCTGCTCTAAAAAAACAAAAATAAGTAAATAAAATTTTTAAAAGAACAGTACTAAAACATTGGAGACATTTAAATATGGACTACAGATTCTGCAGTAATATTTTATCAAAGATAAATTTCCTGATTTTGATATTAATGTTAATGTGGCAAAAATGTCACTGCAAATCTCAGGGAAGGGTACTTGGGATCTCTTAGCATTATTCTTGCTACTTTTCTGTAAGCTTGAAATCATTACAAAATAAAAAGGTAAGCATTTTCTAAACAAATAGCCCTCAAGAGGATATTTTTTCCTTCTGTGGAACTAAATGCTATTTTGCTGCAACACCTGTCTGCTCTCAGGAGCTACGCAGCCTCTACTGATGTCCTCTTCATGTGCTCTCTGATATTTGAAGACCATTGTCATTTGCTACAACTCACCCCCAGCCGCCCAGTTGCTAGTCCTCTCTCCTCCAGGCTAATCTTTCCCAGCCCGTTTGAGAGGGTGGAACTCATCGTCAGTGGAGAACCCTTACCTCTGACTCCTATTTTTGGCTCCCTTTTCTAATGGTAAGGGATCCTGGCAGCAAGATGTCATCAGCTTATCTTAAGGGGTCCTGAGTCTCAAATGCCAAATACTGGAGGCCAGGCCTCCCTGGCCAAATTTGGGTGATCAGACTGCATAGGAAATTGGTGCTAGAAGGTAATTTCCTTGAGTGTTCCCCGGGGAATGTGACGTTATGGTGATCTGAGGCGGCTTGGAAGCACTGCAGCTGGAATGGCACTTTGCTAAATTTGGCAGCCATGGGGGGAAAATGAGATTTTTTTTTAATCAGGAAGCCTGCTTTGGCTAACGTCTCTATCCCCGTCTGTCATGCCATCCTCTGCCAGGAGTGAGGAGCTGCCTGGGGTGAGAAATCTGCTTGCTGGCACTAATGGGATGGGGTCTGAGGGGTGCACAGCTGATGAGAACTGGGAGGAGGTGATGCCAACCAGGCCAGGGTCCCTGCAGCCATTGTGGCTCTGTTCTTGGCATTGTATTTTCCACACAGAGCATCTGAGGGTTGGCAGGAGATGCCAAAAATTCGCTGGTGCACCCCTCTGCTAGCAGGCAGGGGGTTCCCAACCTAACCTCAACAGACTGGACAGACAGAAGAAGGAAGGGCTCTGTTCAGAGCACAGGACAGAGACTGTGGACCATGCACAACTTGCAGGTCCATCTTATACAGCCTGCATAGTTTAAACATTTTTTTTTCCAACTTGTGGAAAACATTTAAAAATGAGGAGATATCACATTTAAAAAAATAACACTGGTTTCTGGCTTTTGTCAAAAAATCAGGAGCTCTGTATGCTATTGTGATTATAATCTACTCACTTTGAGCAGTGGCAATCGCCCCTGGGCAGGGCATACATGCTTTAGTTTGCCACAATCCCCACCACTCCTTACTGTCTCTCTGACTCTGGGATTCAGGGTCACATAACATTTATTATTGCGTTGCACTGTTATTTTCCTTATATTGTTTCCTGAAGCCTTTTTCTCTATCCTTGTCTCTGCCTCAGGAGAGAGAACAAAAGATGTCTAGAAGTCATCTCCAGAAGAAACGTTTTCCACACCTGCCCACTTTGCTCTGTTATATTCTATTTCTGCCCCCATCTAGCCTAGAGAATTAACAACTTTGTGTTTGAAAATAGGACTTTCAGTCTTCCTTGGTGCTTATCATGGGAGTCCCTCCATCAACCAAAAGCAGGCACATGTTTAGTCATAAAATTTGTCCCAGATAAGAGACTGTGGCCCTACTTCTTTCTTAATAAATCCATTCTTAATTTAAAGCCACCAAAGTTATCAATAGCCGATGGTCTCCCCAACTCCCACGGCCCCTTCCTCCAGGGTCTGGCCAGCATCCAGCACAGAGGAGACACTGGGGACCTCTCCCAGGCCCTGCCTGCACCATACCTCTCCTCTCTGTCCCCAGGTACCTGGCACCTCCAGCAGCCAGACCAGAAGGCCCTGTGAGTGATGAGGGACTGGGCTTGGGAGGGAGGGGGAGGCAGAGAGGTGGCAGAGCGAAGCACATGCAGGGGACAGTACCAAACTGGGCATGCAGGAAGAGAAGTGGGGGTGCTTTTGCTCAAGTCTCCTCATCCCTAGAGGGCCTAAAACAGTGGCCTGTGATGGCATCTGCAAACGAGGTCATCCATCCAGTTACAGACACATTGTGACATGCTCAAAGAAGGATGGGAGAACCTGGGTTCAGGGCGACTGGAATCTACACTCCCAGGAAACTCATATATAAAAGCAAAAAAAAAAAAAAAAAAAAAAATTAAAGAAAGACGAAAACCTCATATGAGAACCAGAGTAATGCTTCATGAATTCCAGGTCTTTCTAGGGGGTATAAATCACATAATTAAATTGTGAATGTACCCTGTATATGTGTTTGTGCATGTGTGGGAAAATAATTTATTCAATGTAGGCTTTTGTATATCACAGATTTTGAAATCGTGTCTTGGCATTTCTGCTTTATCTTTTATGATAACAGAAAATTTTATAATTCCAAAAATGGAAGAGGGGCTCCCTCTCCTTTGGGAGCCTCGTCCCTGCTGCCTCCTGCTCCGGCAGCCCCATTCAGTGGTGTCACCTCCACAGCCTGTCCTAGGGATGAGAGACAAGAGCCCTTGGGACTAAAGGGCTACAGGGAGAAGCTTTTTTTGGGCTGGAAGTGAAGCTTAACCTGGGCTGAGGAAGAGAAGGAGGGGAGGAAGGTCAGCAGTCATGGGGCTCAGTGCCTGGCACCTGCTGCCCACAACACCTGGGCCTTCTTCTCCCTGAAGACCTCAGGTTCAGCTTCTCTTGTCCCACCCGCCTGGAGTCTTCCTCTCCAACTGCCTCATTCAACTGCTGCTCCCACCACAACTGAGAGGGAACTCACATGAGCGAACATGCCCTGTGCCCACATTAAAGGGCTCTGCTGCCTCCCAGGATGAACTGTGGCCCAGTCTGGCTCTTCGGTGACAGTCAGAGCCCAGCTTGCATGGCCAGCCCTTCCCTGGCTGTCACAGCACATCCTTGTGGAAGAGAAGGAGAAAATCCTTGCTCCAATCTCCATTCTGCAGATGAGAAGCCCATGGAACAGAAGCCAGTCCATGACTGAGACCAGCACCTAGGTCTCCTGAGTCTCACTCCAGGCTCCTGCCTGGGAGAATGCATCGAATTTCCTAGCTGTGTTCCTGCAATGGGAAAGCAACTTTGGGATCAGGAGAGGGGAGGGAGAGGAACCCAATCTTCAAAACAGAAAATCTCATTCATTCATCCCCCTTTCATTTAACGAAAAAGAAAAGGGCAAGTTGAGCTCAGTTTGTCTTGAATTGAATGAAAGTAAGTCTGAGACCAGCACTAGCAACTGGCCCTTGCACAGCAAAGTTCCCCGTGTGTCACACTTGGAGCCTTGCACACCCGGAGCGCAGGTTTGATTCCCGGGGTCCCTCCTGCGTCTCCCACAGAACACATGCCTGATCTCAGGTGAGCCGAGTCAAATGGTTCTACAGCGCTCAGCGAGCCGGCTGGGAGGGAGCAAACTCTCTAAATGCAGAAATAAACTAATTTGATTCAGTTTTAAGCGTTATTTAGACACCTTACAGGACCCTCCCCGCCTCACGCAAAGCCATTGGCCTCTGCCTGCTCCTGTCCTGCGCAATGCCGCCCCCTGCTGGCTGCTTTCAGGCTCCGCCGCTTCCTGGAGATGCAAATTCACCGCCTTCGCCCGACCTGAGTTCCCTTCCCACGTGAAGGGAAGTGGAAATGCAGAGGAGCTGTGAGCAGCTGTGTAGGAAAACGGGTCCTCCCAGGAAGGCTCCCCGGCCTCGGGAATGAGCTAAACCGACAGCAGTTTCCTTACGCGTGTCCAAAGTGTCCCATTTAATTTCCCTGCATTCCTCCCTTCATGAATGCAATTCACTGCTAATAATAATCACTTGACATTTCTGGAGCCCTTTGTGGATCACAAAATTCTTTATCCTCTTTATCACTTGATCTTCCCAACAACCCCGGGGGTCTCATAAACACAGCAAAGACTCTCTTCCACTATCTTCCAAACGGAGTCGAGTGCTACGAAATTTATGGAGGAAGAATGCTGATCAGTTTTCCTCCATCTCCTTGAAAGGCCGGGTGGAGACAGATTTCCACCCAGACAGACGGTATTGGCTGGCCTAGTGGGAAACAGAGTAGAAAATGATGGAGAGGGACTGGTCTGTATCCAAGGAAGTCCATAGAAAAGACCAGACAAGCTCCTGTTCCAGGCAGAGAGTGGACTCACCCACGGTCAGGGAACTCAGACCCAGCCTGGGTATACACACGCCTGGGGGTGGGGCAAGAGAATTCCGTGGAATATAGAAAGCAAAGATTAGAAATCGTTTCCATAGTTTTCCTCTTCCTTTAAAAATTTTATTTTGGCTGGGTACAGTGGCTCAGGCCTGTAATCCCAAC